GAATACTTATAGTGCTCTTAGTTTTGACTGTAAACCCTGAGGACTGGGATGTTGACTTTGCCTTTCCAAATTTTAACCTAAAATCGTTTTAATGAGAACGAAGCTGATGTAGAAACTGAATCATAACCTTACCGAGGAAGAGAATGCTAGTCAGTGTTTGAAAATTTCGACGCAGATCACAATTGTAAAGACGAGAATGAACTGGCAGAAAGAGAGGTTTTTCCAAAAACCATTAACGAGCGAATCCTTCGACAATGACGACAAACTTACCTTGAAAAGCTACTTTGCCTTTTGCAGTGTTTTTTTACAAGGACCAACGGAGGAAAGATGGAAACGATTTCTAGACAGACACAGTGTCCGGTTTCCAAAATACTCCAGCGTTACGTCAAAGAGCTAAAACTTACAGTTCTCTTAGTTTGGACTGAGTAAACTTTTTCAACATGGCGAATTTGTTTTTACTTTCTCAGAAAGTAATAAAAACTTTCTTTTTTGACGCCTGTCAAATGAATGTCAAATCGTGCTTCCTGCACTTGTTTCCGGTCCCCCAAATAGGGAGAAGCCATATAATAAACATCTGATTAGCCTCGTTTTTTCGGTCCGTAATTTACAGTACGGGGCGAAAACTCGGCTAATAAGAGGTATTTTTGTGGTATGGTATCTTTGTTGTGCGGTTTGTTCATTTTGCGATGTGGTTTCGTCTTTATGTTTTGTTGTTTTTGTTTTCCGGTACAAAGCTCTAGTACCCAGGCTTTACTCGTTACAAGGAACAAGTCAAACCGGTTTTAAGAGGGGCCCCAGTTCCTGCTTCCGCGTTGTCAAAGATAACAAAACTAACTAATGAAGAGGGTCGTACAGGGGGGGGTCTCGCGCACGGATCACGAACAGAAAAAACAGCGAATCACGGATCACGGCTATCAAAATTTCATTTTCCCGAATCACGAAAATAAACAAGTAAGGTACTCGTTTTAATAACCTTCTCTTACGGTAGAAAGAGTGTTTGAAGAAAGAAAAATCGTTAAAGGCTAAGTAAAGGCTGCTTATCGGAAATCACATACCTAAATCACTCTCGATGGACGACTCTGACCATTCGTCCACTTCGCGTTGTAACTGCCCGAAGAAACAACAAATCGTCGAAAGAATCTACCTCGTAATTGTCAGCAATAGGATATTCAGCGTCTGAGTCAGTGTCATACTCTTCCTCCTCTTCTACCTCGGCTTCCTCTACTACTTGAACATCTTCAATGGCCTCGTGCGATGTAGAAGGCGTAACAGTCGTAACGGTCGTAGCAGAAGTAACAGTCTCCTCTTCGACAGTGTTAGGGCTGAATGAGACTTTATCTTTAGGATAGTCTGATGTTCTGTACATGTTTAACGGCAATGTTCCGGCCTTGAACATGGTGGTCTCTTGTCTCACACTTCTCTGTCGTGCAGCCCTCCCATTATTTGTCGCCCACTCAATCATGAGGTCTTTTTCCTGCCTATTTAACTCCCTTCTTGCCTTAAGATGCTCCAGCTTCGGAATGGCATTTAGTGGAGTGCTCTGGCGCAACACGGGATAATATGATTTATCATGTGTGAAGTAGTAGGCACTCCAGGGTACTACACGCTTAATGCTTTCGTATACGGTATTTGCCAGATTCCGTGCGTACTGCAAAAGGGTAGGAAACTGGTCCTTGAAATGACCAACTGCGTGTAGGTTTTCAACCTGAACTGTTAGACAAGAGTACAGATCAATGGCGAAGCTTGGGTTATGTTCTTTAACTAACGCCTCCAGATCTTTCAGTCCATTTAATATCATGTTAACCGAACGCTTTGTCTGATTAGAAATAGTTCCTTGAAAACCCCTTGGTTTACCTGTGCTGGCATCGTTTACATCGTTGCTATGCGACAACGCTTTTTCCGTTGTTGTTTCCAAGTAACTGTCAAGTCCTTCCAGAAGCTCGATTGCTTATGGTAGGGAACGTTTTGGTACAGTCTGAAGTTTCATATGAACAGAAAAGGCTTTATACAGGAGACCAAGATGGCCTAAATACTTTACAATGCCTTTTATTGAGGTAATTAAAGTCGCCGGGAAAATTGAAACGTTTCACGAAAAGTTTCAAGTGACTTGAAAACCATCCTTACAACCGACATAGCGAACTTACGGTTTCTTGAGCTTTGAAGAAAGCGGAGCATGTCAATCAAGCTTAATTAATTGCGTGAAGTTAAACTTGAAGTAAAATAGCATCGCCCGTGTTTGAAGCTGTATTTTACCTGAAGTATTTAAAATTTACTTGTCTTGAAATATTTCTAAGTTAACTTTGTGCTACCATCGTCATCCTGACATAGTCGCCGTATTCTCTTGTTCTTCTTTTAACCTTGATTACTTATTAACCTATAGAAAAGTCGGCCCGTATCTTTCAGAACGGTCCTTGATGTCGTTTAATAAGAAGTAAATAAATTCCTACCTTGTAATGAAGATGTATTTCCTGATAGTAGCGGCCTCTCCTTGTCCCATTGCTCTTGTGTATTTATCGCAAAGGCCTTACTGCCATCTTTTCCCTTTTCGAGACGACAAAATTTAAGTTCAACACAGGAGCCGAGGCCACGTTTCTCAGCCTCTGCCTTTAATCCGGCAAATTCCGCGAACTTTTTAGTAAACACTGCCAAAGATGAATGTTCATCTGTAATTGGAAAGCGAACTCGTTCCTTTCCAAGAAAATTAAGCGAGCCGACAGACTTTGGGTCAACGTAAAATTCAATACATTCGACCCTCATCGTACTATACGTACTCGTCCCCTCCATGTCTCGGATGTTTCGATGTTTTGGATCACTGTCCTTTGATCTCCAGTGGCATAGGAGACCATAGGCATAGGAATAGACATCTGATCCATGATAGGCATGTAAAGCACGTGAATTTGCGCAATGGATTACTTTAATTAAAGCGAAGTCTCTTACTTGTCACATTTGATGTTTTCAGTCTTAAAATAAGTCTTCCAGAGCACTCGCATCTCAAAATCACGCCAAATAGAGTGGTGAAATCACGAATATCGGTTAATAATTCCAGTTCTTCACGGGTCACGCAAAACCTTCAGATCACGGATCACGAAGAATAATTTATTAAATTCACGTTTCACGGAAAATAAAATCAGCCAATCACGCATCACGGGAATACCCCTGTACGACCCTCAATGAACCATCATAATTTGAAGAAAAAATTTTTAAAATGCTATTTACACATCCAGCAGGTCTGCTAAGCGCTCAGGATCGATATTCTTCCCAGCAGAACGCATCGATGGTATAAACTTCAGCTGTAGCCCTTTGAACTCTCAGTTCGCGGCATATTGCACCAAAATCCTTGCCCTTTGAAAACGAGTCCACAGCCCGCAACTTGTTGTTAGAAATGTCGTTTTTCCCGTACAGTTTTAGGAGACGATTTTTCTGCGTAAAAAGGGTGATTATATAAATGATCGATTAGCTAAATCACAGATATTTCACGGTTCACAGGCGTGCTCTAGCTGGAAACTCGCATCCAAAGTTTGATTGTAAACAAAATGTTGCAGAAAAAGAAACACTTACAATGGGAGCCCTTCTCTTTGCTGATGGACCAGCTTCCTCTGAGTTTCTGTCTAAAGCAGGTCTTTTCCCCGAAGAAGACATTTTAGCTGCAAAGACGGACCAAACACCACAGCAAACAAAAGCACTGTTCAAAGATCACGACCAGCACATGGCTGCAAGAGGTCTGCGTTAGATCACAATCATGACAGCCGATGCGGTATTCTTTGATGATTACATCGCGGTCAGGCATCCTCCGGCGTTCTTTCAGTGATAAGTTCAATTCCTCGCTAAATGGCGCATACAAATTCCAAAATTTTTACGTCTTTGGTTTTTTAAATACCCTATGATTTTACCAGCTGAAAAATAATGTGTTTTTTTGGAAGGAAAGTCTGTAAACTTTCCGATCGAAATTCAAATTTCGCGCTTTTCGCTGCATTGACCAATTAGAGCCGTGAGATTTAATTTGATTAGAGAAATTAGCGCCTGAAAAATAACTGACGCTATTGCCGCGGCCTATTGTTTTCTGCCTACCTTTTAGCCGGACCATTACTTAAAATCGAAAAATGTGCTGCTTGACACCTTGATAGTCAAGGGTTATGTTACATGTTAATTCAAGTGGAACTATATTTGAACATCAACGCGCGCCCGGTGCCCGATTTACATGTGACAACATTTTCTTTTAAAAAGCTCTTTGATAGACATGCTACATACAAGTTGACTTCAAGAGTTTCTTGGCGAGCGGAACGTTCTTTTTAGGACATGGAGCGGCCGACCGAGCNAAATTTAAGTTCAACACAGGAGCCGAGGCCACGTTTCTCAGCCTCTGCCTTTAATCCGGCAAATTCCGCGAACTTTTTAGTAAACACTGCCAAAGATGAATGTTCATCTGTAATTGGAAAGCGAACTCGTTCCTTTCCAAGAAAATTAAGCGAGCCGACAGACTTTGGGTCAACGTAAAATTCAATACATTCGACCCTCATCGTACTATACGTACTCGTCCCCTCCATGTCTCGGATGTTTCGATGTTTTGGATCACTGTCCTTTGATCTCCAGTGGCATAGGAGACCATAGGCATAGGAATAGACATCTGATCCATGATAGGCATGTAAAGCACGTGAATTTGCGCAATGGATTACTTTAATTAAAGCGAAGTCTCTTACTTGTCACATTTGATGTTTTCAGTCTTAAAATAAGTCTTCCAGAGCACTCGCATCTCAAAATCACGCCAAATAGAGTGGTGAAATCACGAATATCGGTTAATAATTCCAGTTCTTCACGGGTCACGCAAAACCTTCAGATCACGGATCACGAAGAATAATTTATTAAATTCACGTTTCACGGAAAATAAAATCAGCCAATCACGCATCACGGGAATACCCCTGTACGACCCTCAATGAACCATCATAATTTGAAGAAAAAATTTTTAAAATGCTATTTACACATCCAGCAGGTCTGCTAAGCGCTCAGGATCGATATTCTTCCCAGCAGAACGCATCGATGGTATAAACTTCAGCTGTAGCCCTTTGAACTCTCAGTTCGCGGCATATTGCACCAAAATCCTTGCCCTTTGAAAACGAGTCCACAGCCCGCAACTTGTTGTTAGAAATGTCGTTTTTCCCGTACAGTTTTAGGACACGATTTTTCTGCGTAAAAAGGGTGATTATATAAATGATCGATTAGCTAAATCACAGATATTTCACGGTTCACAGGCGTGCTCTAGCTGGAAACTCGCATCCAAAGTTTGATTGTAAACAAAATGTTGCAGAAAAAGAAACACTTACAATGGGAGCCCTTCTCTTTGCTGATGGACCAGCTTCCTCTGAGTTTCTGTCTAAAGCAGGTCTTTTCCCCGAAGAAGACATTTTAGCTGCAAAGACGGACCAAACACCACAGCAAACAAAAGCACTGTTCAAAGATCACGACCAGCACATGGCTGCAAGAGGTCTGCGTTAGATCACAATCATGACAGCCGATGCGGTATTCTTTGATGATTACATCGCGGTCAGGCATCCTCCGGCGTTCTTTCAGTGATAAGTTCAATTCCTCGCTAAATGGCGCATACAAATTCCAAAATTTTTACGTCTTTGGTTTTTTAAATACCCTATGATTTTACCAGCTGAAAAATAATGTGTTTTTTTGGAAGGAAAGTCTGTAAACTTTCCGATCGAAATTCAAATTTCGCGCTTTTCGCTGCATTGACCAATTAGAGCCGTGAGATTTAATTTGATTAGAGAAATTAGCGCCTGAAAAATAACTGACACTATTGCCGCGGCCTATTGTTTTCTGCCTACCTTTTAGCCGGACCATTACTTAAAATCGAAAAATGTGCTGCTTGACACCTTGATAGTCAAGGGTTATGTTACATGTTAATTCAAGTGGAACTATATTTGAACATCAACGCGCGCCCGGTGCCCGATTTACATGTGACAACATTTTCTTTTAAAAAGCTCTTTGATAGACATGCTACATACAAGTTGACTTCAAGAGTTTCTTGGCGAGCGGAACGTTCTTTTTAGGACATGGAGCGGCCGACCGAGCTACGAAGTCGCAAGTAATGAATTCTAGCTTCTTGACTTTAAATCAAGAAACCAACACCAGCGTGTCGCCCGGCTGGGTGACCTGGACAATATTTTCAGTCGCCCGAGGCCAAGTCTTAGTCGCCTCATGGGACCGGGCGCCGTAAATTAGAGCACAGCCTTGATTTTGTCCTCCTCTACGCAGTTTCCCCCCTTTGCTGACGCAGTATCTTTTTTCTGCTTTTGCAATCCAACCTGACTTGCACGTGATTCGAAATTACGGCCAATAAAAATCACACAATTTTTCGGGACGGGTACGGTATACGAGAAAGTTAAAAAACAAGACAATTTTTGACTCCCGAGAAAAATACGACAGGAACAACGCGCTACCGAATTTATGCTGACGCTGGCTGACTACGCCATCCCGCGTAACAAACCGCTAACAAAGATACCAGACGGTAACCACATTACATCAAAAACACAAAACGTAGCTAAACAACCTCAACATACCGCGATAAAAGCAAATTAAATCACATAAGTTAACTAAGTTTTTACACCGCATCACGGTAAAAACCCAACACGTCAGGACTGCATTACAAGACGTAATGAAGAAACCTCAAACATAATGAAGGAACCGCAAGACATAATGAAGTAACTACAGCACATAATGAAGTAACTACAAGACATAATGAAGAAATTCAACTCCACATAATGATAAATAACCACATAAGAAAGTTATGGCTTTCCGTATAAATTCCCCGTAGCTTTTAGAACTTTCTTTACGCTCCGCTTGGTTTATAGTTTCCTTGCTCTTGCGATAAAAATGATAAACAACAATTGATGAAAGTGTATTCAATATCAACTTGAAGCGTTTGAAAAACATGGCAAAAAATTCAGGCTTGTTCATTTAAGTATATTTTCTCGCTGGCTTTTAAAAATATTTTACCATGAAACCCAGTTCACCAGGAGATGCTATGATCTTTTGAGTACCTAGTGATAAAATTCTACTGCCACATTATTTTCAAATGCTGCTACCCTTGGTAGCTTTGTTTGGTTTGAAGCAGATTATATATGCAAAAAATAAGTTTGCGTTCCACCATGTGTATTCGTGATGCTAAAAACTGAAATCTGCTGTTAAACAATTAACACCACTTTGCATCTAATTAGCTAACAAGGCGGAAAAAGTCTTTCCACTTCTGTTAATCAGAAAACTTTAACATGTATTAATATTTCAGTGACTGTTCCGCCTAGATTAGCAAATGCTATTTGCGGACCAGTCTCTTCGTGTTGTGTTGTATATATACAAACATTTATTGGAGTTGAAACTGAAGAGAAGGCTTCTTCACTTTCCAGCTCCGCCGTTTCAGACAGCCGGGTATTTAGCCTGTGTGAAATCGTTTATTCTAAGTGATCGAAGATAAAATACTTTCAAACGATTAGAAAAAGGGATTTTGCAGAAATTCTAGAAAATTTCAGTCTTGATACCACCACATGAGAAATTTCTGCAATCTGATTGGCTTAGAGCAGTGGTATTTCAGCTTAATTTGAAATACGTACATGTGAAAATTACAAACCGTTTGCGGGTAGTTGATATTTGGCAAAAATACCGCCCGTGATATTTCAAAATTGTCACAAATTTCACTCGCCTAACGGCTCGTGAAATTACGTATAACAAATTCGAAATATCACTCGTGGTATTTATGCCAAATATCACTACAAATCATGCTATTACCTATACGAATGCCGGGTATTTAGTTTTTTTAAGACTGGTTGCCGAGCATATAGCCACGGGGTTTTTAATAATGATATAACTGACTTCAGAATCAGTCAGTAACATTTTCTTTGACATCTTTAACTTGAACCGTAAGCTAACTATGTAGGCAGCGTCGCCGACACGCTAAATCGATTGTGACGGACAATGCGTATGTAGTGCAGACTGGCCAGTATCTACTGCCACCAAATAACCTTTCATTCCGTTTCTAAGTCTCTAGTCTTCTCTAAAATGCCACCAACTTTCCAAAAGGAAATTGCTGTACGTTATGCTTCGCCGACAAAGTCGCTTACGTGGTGATTAATCGTCAAAAAATGTTCTACCGTCCAACCTAAAAATGTGATCCCACGTAAAATATGTCTCGAACGAATTTTTAAGGCGCAAAACAATCGGATAGGAAATACATCCCAGCCATACAGGCTGCAAACGAAAACGGCTATGATGAAATACTATGTGGAAGATATTTATCAAACGGCTGAGAAGACACGAGAAATAACTGAAACCGCTACATTTTAAAGAAGAAGCTGAGAGATGGAACGCAGCGTCGAGTTTTCCCTGCGAAGAGTAAAATAACAGTTCTTTTCTGTCCTCACGTCGGCTCTTGACCCCTGTACAACATTTCGTACAACAACTCTTTGGCTATTGCCAAGCGAGGGGGTTTTATTATTTACACCTATTAAAAAAATAATAAACAGCCTAACTACTTACAAAATACTTCCGATGCCGCCCCATTTTTCGCTGTGCGCTTTCACAAGGCAGAGATAGCCGATGAAAGTAAAACACTTCACACTTTCATTTTCATCAACGCGATGCATGCACACGTTCAATGGTTTTGTAACTCGAAAGGCCTCGTCATGCATTCGCTTCCCCACGAAAGTCGGAGCTGCCAAATGGCCACTTCTTCCGATGGCCTTTGTTTTTAGAACCAATTAAGAACCAATTAGAAGTGGTGGTCATGCGGTTGGTCACATACCGCACGGCTCCACGTATTCGTTAACTTTTTCAGCGTTTTCTTGGTTTTTTCCGAGTGCAAACGTAAAAAGTGGAGTAGATTTATACAAAATATACGATCCCAACTTTTCACGAGAAAAGCGGGGAAGCAAAAGAAGCTAAAATTTGAAGAAATCGACCACAGCATATACAAACCGGCAGCGCGATGTGCTGCCTTTCTAAACTTCTAAACTACTGAAAGAACTCAGTGATTATGAAATCGGCTGGATTAACCACCATGACGAGTCTGCCTTTGAGCATATTGAAGCGGATCTGCCGTGAGTACTGTCGACTGACTTAGCGGACAAGAAACAACTCCTCTTGACAATTCACGTATATCTAACCACTGAGTGAGTTATGTGCCAAGGTGCCTGATACGAATTATGGTGTTTCAAAAAGTTCCCTCGCTTAAAGCAAAGAATGAAGAGGTTAAACGCCAACTACGGCGGCAAGCAAGTTAAAATGAAACTGACCACGCTCTCAACTCTGTTCCAGACGATTTTGACATCAGCACGTGCAAAAACCTGGATGACTTTCACCAAGTTACCATGGAAGGCAAAACGAAAGCCAGGAAAAATACAGCTAATTGTGCATCATCTAAGAGTAATGCCGACGACTGGGGAAATCTTACGGAAGATTCTACAGGGCCGGAAATCAAGAATCTTGTAGATGAAACTCAAACACCAAAATCATCCCACCCGAAACGCAGCAATTCGCTAAGCTCGGTATGGAGTCTATCTACGAAAAAGAATTCATCCATTTCTGAGTTGAAATCGGCAATTTGCGCCTTGGAGGCTGATGTTGTTGAAGTGAAAAACTCTGTAAACGATAATAATGACAAACTAAACTTTATAGAGGATAAAATATCTTAGCCTGCGAAAACATCCGTTTCACCTCGCTCTTCGCCACTGGGGACGCTTCGCGCATAATAAATCCGGTAGTCATGGGGTTCCAAATATAAATTTGTCCAGTTGTACGTGTCTTCTGGTCGATTTTCGTAAAGTGTTGTATTCTTCTGCCTAAGAGCTCCAGCAAAACTCAAATACTCCTTCTAGAGAAGACTTTATTCCACAAATATTGACTGTTTTGTTAGAGATTCTTCGCGTTTACATTTGACCTTCGTGAGCTTTTGTCTTTTGTCTGTTATTCGTAAGCGATAGCTAAAACAATGTATTTACTCCGTCGACCAATCAGCGCTTCTGACCGGATTCCGGACAGATTTTACGTCATCAGTATGGAATTTTTGTCGCTGAGTCGCAGACGTTCCTCCGCGCGAAACGTCCCTGAGCGGCGAAGAGCGAGGAGAAACGGACGTTTTCGCAGGCTAAAAATAACTCAACTGGAGAATTTCTTCAAGTCTGAATTTAAGCAGTCAACATCTCGAATGATTGACGTCGAAACAACCAATGACCAACTGAAGTCAGAAAATCTTAAGTTATTAAACTTCTGAAGTTACAGCGTTGAAGAAGAACATCAAGGAATTAGAGAAAAAAGTTTTACATATACCCAAAGAATCAACTAAACACCAAGCACCTGAATCACACTGCACCGATAAATCTTGATGTTTCTGACATACCGCACCCGC